TTAACTACGAAAAATAGTACTTCTAAAAATACGTCTTTATAATTTCCTTCGAAGTGTTACTTATGCATTGCTCCCATAGGCAGCGGCAAATGTCCGTACTACATTCGTTTCTTTCTTGATATTCAGTAAGGTTCGTTTAGATATCAAATTAAAGGCCAAATAAAGAGAAATAATTGCTAGGTAGATTGTATTTTGACCAGCTTCCAAGTAACGAGGATCTATCTGCCTTAAAAACTTTTGTCGCCTTTTTTTCTCGGGTTCGATCAGGTGGGATATACGCAACTAAATTAGATTCGAAGCAAGTCTGTAGACATCTTAATCTTGAAAAGGATAGGGAAATAATGTAAGCTGTACGCATGCGTACACAGCGGCTAAGTTATTAATACGTCATATTTGCTGCAATAAAAGAGATGTTGCATTTTATACAAAGCGCATCTCTCCTCTGTGGTTACTGTAAATTCTGTACTGCCCCACGTGTTTTCTGGGGTTACGGTTCATTGCAATGTATCTCTTTGAGTGAGATTCTCGTCTTTTGCTTCTAAAACATGGAAAATAAAAAGAACGGATGCTGAGATATTTTTAGGTTTTTAGAAGTTGTGGAAAAGGAGGAGAAAGAGATGGAAAAATTTATTAGAATAGCGAAGAAAAAAAGAGTACGAGGGAATATATATATATATATATATATATATATATATATATATATATATATATATAGAAAGAGAGAGAGAGATAGATAGATAGATAGATAGATAGATAGATAGATAGATAGATAGATAGATAGATGAACCTATGTCTCACTGTTTTCCGCTTATTTCTATGATAGTAAATAAGTAATCTCCGTAACATTACCATTTTTGTGGTTCCACAATTCTCGGGTAGCTATTTTCTATTCTTGGTGTTCATTACAGTCTTCGACAGACGAATGCATGATCTGATATGATATAATTACAAACTATGAAGAGTCTGTCTCTTCGAATGATAACGTTTGTCGAAATTGCGGTCTTTCGTCGAAAAGTTTTTATACCAGAAGACTCTTGATGTAGCTACGGTCTTCAATTGCAGTTGTCTTTTCAATGATTGCCCCCGGAAAGATCATGAATTTATTCGTAATTTGTTCAACTGGTATGCGTCTTGTGTTTACATGCTGTCTCAGTTGCATAAGAACCTTACAAAGATGTTTTACACAACCGATACATAATGGATATATACTTGAGTACATACATAGGCATATTTACCGATGCATAAGAGGAGACAGGGAAGGGGATAGCTTGTTTGCCTTGACTTGTCATAAACATTTCCCGCTGTAATCAGCAGTTAGGGTTTGAAATGAGGGCATAATTCAATTGGCAAATTTCTAAATTACACAAACTAGACAAAAAATATGAATGTTGCCAAAAGACAAAAATAAGATAATAAGTATAAAGGTCGATCACAGTACTTTCACAAGACAAGAAGTCTTCGAAATAATGGTGCTCGATATCAAGAGATAGAGCATTAATAATAATAAATATAATTATATATGTTCAGTTATTTCGTCTCTACTTTTAATTTAACAAGACAACTGAAGAGTGGATGTAATTGAACGAAACTTATATTAGAGAGAAGATAAGTTAAGAATTCATTGTATTTACTATTTTATAACGCAGATAGACACACACACACATACATACATAAATACATATATATATATATATATATATATATATATATATATATATATATATATATATATATATATATAATTTAAATAAAAACAGACCACTTTAAGGTTCCATGTAATAAATTATTTCACCACAGACCTTTTAAAGGACTGCGGATCATCAGATTTTATTTCCAAAGGTTGAAAGTTTTTTTTTTTTTGTTTCAACCTTTAAAGGGGCTGTGGTGAAATAATTTATTACATGAAACCTTAAAGTGGTCTGTTTTTATTTAAATTATTTGCTCTGGATTTACATTGAGCTCTCTGGATTTTATCATCCTTGGGTCTACCCATACGGATTACCTAGTTTTTCATAAACTATATATAAATATATATATATATATATATATATATATATATATATATATATATATATATATATTAAATGCAATCATATTATAATTTGAATCAACGAAAAAACCGTTAAAATTTTTGTTCCTCTCTACAGGGCTAGCAACTCAAATACGTATAATCACTAAAAAATATAATAGTAATATATATATAAATATATATATATATATATATATATATATATATATAGACTGAACGAAAAAGATAGATGTTGTTATTGCATCTGCCACTAGTGTTGCTAATGTTGTTGCTAGTGCTATCAGTGCTACCGCTGCTGTTAGTGCTCATTGTTGATTGTTATATCTTGTTGCTACTGTCATGTTGTTTATATTGCTGTGGTCGATGATGATGATGATGATGATGATGATGATGATGATGATGATGATGATGATGATGATGATGATGACAAAGACATATTATTATTATTTATTTATTTATTTATTTACCTCGACACTTTGAAGAGGGTGCTTGGACAGCAAGGTACGGGATGAAATACATAGATAGATAGATAGATAGATAGATAGATAGATAGATAGATAGATAGATAGATAGATAGATAGATAGATAGATGGCTAACAAATACGAATAGACATAGATGTACACTGCCTGAAAGATATAAACACCTGAAAAGATTGCGCCAGGAAGATTTCCCTGTGGTTTTCACCTCAACAATTGGGAATTGAAAATCGTAGATACGAAACAATTGCGTATATTTAAATATCTGTGATGTGTTTTAACAGATGAAATTTGAAGGCCTATTGAGATAACCAAGGAAGCATTCCAAAAGCTAGAGAGTACTAAGAAAAAATTCTTTCAAAACAGAAAAGACTTCTAAACTGCTACGTGATATATCTCCTCCTGTATGTCAATAAGTTCTGAACAATCTCCTCAAAGATAAAGAGGAGATTTGAAATGTGGTTCTACAGACGAATACTGAGGATATTGTGTACAGAACATCTGAGCGACGACGAAGTTTTGGAGAAAATGGAAGCAAAAATGAAATTAATACATAACATCACTAACAGACAGCTGAATTTTCTGTGACGCGTAATGAGGAAAGAGGCTAGGAAAATCTGATACACACAGATTGATGCCAAGTATGACAGAGAAAAACAACGCATAACATAATTAGTGAGCTTGAGCAAATGGATGGTGGAACAGGGTTTATGAGAAATAACAGAAGTTTAATAAGAGCTGCAAGGAATAGAAAGTTGTGCAAAATCATAATCGTCTACGTCCTGAGGGGACATAGCAGAAAGAACTTGGGAATTAATGGACCAATAATGATGTAAATGTTCACAAAGAAAATAATACAGTAGTCAGGAATCATACTTATTATAAAACCCAGGTTGTGTGTATGTGTGTGTCTGTTCGTTTATATATTGGATCGGATTTCCTATATTTTTCAACCGATTTCAACAAAACTTCACAGGACCACGTAAAATTACCTTGCGGTGGTTCTGACAGCGCCAAAAATTGGAAAAACACAATTGTTTTTGCACAAAATCAATTTGAACACATGATTAAGAAGCATCGCTGTCGAGAATGGAAGGGGGACAACTCATATCGAGTTATACTCATTATAAAACCCAGGTTGTTTGTGAGTGTGTGTCTGTATTCGTTAATATATGGGATGGGTTTCTTACATTTTTCAACCGATTTCAGCAAAACTTCATTTTTTTTTTTTTGGCAGGTAGTGTTTCTTATTGTCTTGAACACTTTTTCTTTATTTTTACATTCAGAATGCTTTAAAAATTCCATTTACAAGATTATTGTTTATAATAAAATTCTATTCAATCGGTAGACTCATAACGATTGAAAACAATGCTTTTGTTTGAGTTTGGATTTGACCAATTCGTAAAAAAAAAAAAAAAAAAAAACAAACAAAAATAAAACTAATTAAGACATGCGTGTCCGTCAACCTTAAACAATAATCTTTGTCAATTTTATTTTTCAGTCTTTATGATGGTCGATACTTGATCTATCTCTTATTGTTACATCCCCGGGCAACGCCGGGCTCTACTGCTAGTGCAGTATAAATTGAACGGCGTTGGAAGGCTTGCCAAAGTGTCAAACGTTGCAAAGTGCGACAATAGTTAAGAGTGTATAGAGAGCCATGATTACCCTGTTCCTGAATGGAGACAACAAGTAGAAGAGTCAATAACACGATGCAAAACTTGTTTTAATGAACAGAAAACACGATCATTTTCAACTGTCACCAAATATCCAAAGCTGTTAAAAACAGTCATATTCACAGGTACGTATATTTCAAACGAGACCGTTTTCGAAAATATAGTCTTGAGATCGCAAACCTTCATAAATCGATATCAGCTTACCCGGAGCTATAAAAACAAACAAGAACACAGATGGTTTTTAATAATAACAAGAGGGTGGATTTAACAAAGCTCTTGAAAGATGTCTTAGAACGCCCGCAGATAAACATCGTCCATGTTTTCATCTATCAAACATGGTGAGGAATATATTTTGGTGGAGGCTTATGTTAAGGTAATCTAACACCTCTGCATTTTTAAAAATGTCATTTCACCCTAAGCAAAGCAAATAAAGCCACGAAGAGGCAAGGGATTACTGAACGTGAAAGAATATTCACCAAAAATAAAACAAAATTAATTAGAGAAAACAAAAAACAAGAATAAAGAAGATGGAAATTAATGATTGACATTGCATTTAAACATTTGAATTTGATTGGAAAGCAAGAAGACGGAAGAGAATCCCACAAGTGAGAAGTTCGAAAGAAGAAAATTTCTGCATAAAACCTAAGATTACACCTAACCAGTTCACCTATAAAATGATGAAATCTAGCTACCAATCTATTATTCTGCTTAAATTAATAAAGTCGAGGTGCCAAAGAAACAATATTGGTCAACAGGGAAATTATCATGAATTTTTTTATAGAAAACGCCAAGAGAAGTTAATGCTGTATTGTTCCTTCTTTTAGGATGTTCTCTTGAGCGACAATCTCAATTAATACACTGTTGTACATCTTCTCTATCTCATCTTCTTCCAGCCGTGTATCGAAATGGTTTTCGTAGCGAAATGTTTGGGGTCGGAAGTAAAAGAGAGACATCAATAAAGTGAATTTTAACTCACTACTTTATTAAACACGTCGACGTGTACATTTTCTAACTAGTTAGTGGGGTCGCTCTATTACTCTCACTGGGAAGCAAGATCCTAAACACGATTAACACATCTACATTCTTCGACATGTAAAACTTAACTCATTGAAACCCCTTTCTACACCCATTCTACAACATTCCCGGGTTTGCTTTAGCCTTCCTTTGTTTCTATCTGACCTCAAAGGTCAAAATGATGACGTCAGAGGAGAAATACAATGCTCTAAAAATATTAGTCTGTTAAACTATTATTTAACACTAAGTGGGAAAAGTGAATTGAAGTCGAGATGCAAAGTCAGAACCAATAACATTGCAGATTCTTCTTTTGGATTTTTATCAAATGCATAGTAAAAGTACCAGGCTAGATATGACAGCAATATTCAAGTTCTTATCGAATAAAAATGTGTAAGATATATTTTGACGAAAAAAATTGTCTAGCATGACACAGTGAGCCAAGTTTCCTAACTGAAGACCTAGCATATTAGTGGAAAACGTTAGCCATCAAGTAACAAGGAGTTACTCGCCTGGAGGTTAGCATCAGCCATACTGTTGGAAGGCAGGAATGTTTATTAAGACGATTAATTGAGAGCAGTTTCGTTTTAGAGGCGTTAAAATTAACAAAACATTACTTACCTCCATTCACAAGAGATTGAAGATAATTTATAAGATCAGCTGCGGATTCGGCCTTATCGAATGTGTCAGGCCGCCTTACCAAAGACAGGAGTAAATTGTTGTCTCCTCCGTATACTATCGAGAACTAATAATATCAGGAAGGTCGTTGAAGAAAACTATGAAAAGAAAAATTGTCTAGCAAAACACAGAGAACCAATTTCTTAACAACAAACCGAGAAATTGATTCAGTAAGATCTTTCCTCCTCATATCAGCGGAAAGCGTTAGTCTAAACTAGCGTAGTGAGTCACTCTCCTGGGGGTTAGCATTAGATGATGGAAAGTAAAAAAGTACACTCAAACAATTAAAAGAGAATAGTTTTGTTTTGGAGGTATTAAAATTGACAACTCATTTCTTGCCCCAGTTAACAACAGATTGTTGTTCATTTTTTATATCATATTATACTGCTCTGCATCACATTTATTTTACCAAACATTTATTTTACAGGTTAAACATTCAACCATTTTTGAAATTATGATGAAGTTTCAGAGATGGACGTCCAAAAGAAATTGTTTGAAGTCTGTCAATCTGGGAAAATTATCAGAAAACATTCAAACGTTTTGGCATAAACTGATCGACTGCCTTATCCATCGTTCAAAAATACAAAGAAATAAATTTGCTTCCCTGCTGATGTCTGTGAGCTCGATTCGTTCATATCGAAAGGGTGAATAAATTACAGGTCAATTTTCACTGAAATAAGGTGTAATGAATATCCAGTTTCGAAGAACATTTGAACAAATGCACACGTATCAACAATTGTTCGGACACTGAACAGATAAGGACGTGAAATCCATGACTGGTCGCGCAAAAAAATACACTAGTGAAAAGATTCGCTAAAATTTTCTTGAATAATAATGAATGATAACTGGAATGCAGACGAAATTTGGTCAGACGAAAGAAAAATTGATCTTTTAGGATATCATCATTAAAGCTACATTTGGAAAAAACTGCACACGATATAAAATGGCTGCCCAGTGTAGCATTGTAATGGACATATCATTATATAGTGGGGTGCGTTAGCATAGCAGGTAGCAGGGAAAATAGCCAAAATTGAACGGGAAAATGGATTCGTTGAAACATCAATGTAGCCTTTCGAAAAATCTTATCATAGACGACGATGACCCGAACTATCCTAAAAGTTAAATGGAATGACCTTCTCAATCGCATCACTCGAATCCAATATATTTGTCATGAATTGAAATAGCTGTTCATGAATTGAAATCATCCTATCTGAACGATTTAAAATGATACTGTACAGAATTGCCGAATATCCCAATGGAGTGAATCAGAAGCAATATGGAAAGCGAGAGAAAATATTTATTAGCTATGATGAGTGTCAACGGAGATTGAACTAAGAATTGGTCAGGGGGCGTGGATATTTCTGCAAAAGCCATGACACTACAGTACTGATGATTATATTAGACTGAGTGATGAGTAATTTCCATTTTGGACCAATTGGTAAATATATCATCGTAACGAACCTTTCTTTAAATAGATTGTTCAACAATGTTCAACGCAAATGTTAAAGGATTGCCAAGGATAATTTTCCATAAGCGACTCGAAAAGCTCGACAACCGAGACCAAAAGCTAATGTTGCGCCTGTGGTTTGATCGTCATTTTGTGTACTTAATGCGTATTGAAACAATAAATGCACACTTATACGTCCATCAGATGCAACGTGTCGATAAGTGCTTGATCGAAAAGCAACCCGTCTTCATTAAAAAGAAAGATAGTCTCGTCAATGAGAACGCAAGAACGTCCACATCAAAAATGACTCAGGAAAAGATTTTGGAACTCGATTGGTCTGTTCTAAGCCACTTGTCATATTCACCTGACCTTACATCAAACAGTTATTGCTATTTCAAATCGCTTCAAAACGCTTTGCTGAGGAAAACCTTCTTCAATGAAAAAATGTTCCCATCAAAACCGGAATTTTAATCAAAATGTGTCGAAGAGATACATGATAAGTGGCATCAAGTTCATTGCAAATGATGAGGAATATGGAACTAAATAAAATATAATTGCCCTTAATTTTTTTTCAAGAATAAAGTAACTAAAAAAACAGAAATTATTTGTGACTCAACGTAATGGAAATAAAATAATATAACTTTTCTCATGAGAAATATGAGCAAAATGTTTTACCTTTGAATCATGTCATTTATGTCTGTTGATAATGAAAAACACTGATGCTCTACACAGATATGAACACCTATTGCATATGCTAAAGGTGTAGTAACACTGCGACGTACTTTAGATGATGGAAAGGGGTTCGGTAAATATCTCAAATTAAATTAGGAATCATTAATCAGAAAATATGCGGTAAATAATACATATTCGCATACTTTTGAGCATATATATATATATTATAATTATTATTATTATTATCATTATTAGTATTATTATTAAGTGGAGTTTTCTTCGTATTTTATTTTATCAGTCCAGTGGTATTTGTTTATCTCTCATACAGAAAGCTACCCTACTCTTACTCCTAGGCATTTATACAGTATATGCCTTAGCTATGCTAATTAGACAGTAATTTACATATCACTATATATTTTATATATATAATGCATATATTTTCACATACACACGCACACAAACAAAACACACACACACACACACACATATATATATATATATATATATATATATATATATATATATATATATATATATGCGTATGTGTCAAAATATATAAAATTTATTATAGTTATTTTCTTGCGTATCTTGCCATATCTTATAATAATCCAATGTAATTAGCGTTTAAGCAGGAAATAAACACACGTAAGCTGTTTTTATTAATATATTGTGTAATAACACTACATTTCCAACGTTTTCTTTTTCTCCAAGATGGCCGCCAAATCCTTAAAAATTCAAAATTATATCATTTATTATTTATCCGAAGCGAAGTTTACCTTTTAGTAGTATTAGGTGTGCTTGATAACATATCAAAAGCTTACGACAGCCTGACTTCCGAAAAGTTATGAACATTAAAGATGAAGAGTGGCCAAATTAATAAAAATACTCATTATTCTTGCAATATTTATCCTAGACAAGGTTTCTAGGGTCAAGTATTTTTATAAAAGTCTGGAAGGGTTTACTTTCAAAGTTGGCGCCCAAGATATATTTTAATGTTTTTATGCGGTAATTTTAATCATTTCTAAAATGTAATTAAGAGAATTTTTTTTTCAGAATACTTCCTTGCTACACTGAGGAACTTCATATTAAATATCCTCGACTTTCTTTTGCTTCCTTGTTTACAAGTGAAATCAATGTGGCTGCTTTTGGCAAAGTCGTAGTTTTACTTCACAAATCTCGTTTATTTTTAAAGAGGTCTGGTTGCGATGTAGTTACTACATTGCAACCAGACCTCTTTGAAAATAGTTCCACTCATTACTACTAGAGCAATCAACTATCCCCGTATATCAGGAAAATCATAATTTATTAG